AAAGAGACAGAGAGGACGTTCTGAGTGTTTATGAGAGCCAAATACCTTGCCTTTAGAATTGTTATTGGCTCTGTTTCATCTTCCTGGTTGTTGTTTTTTTTTTCCTGAACTTTAGGTTTGGCTGCCCTTCATAATGCCTTTTCATATTCTAATAACCAGAAAATATTTTTTAAATATTTCTACTTCTTTTTAAATTTTAAATATGTAAAATTTTTTAATGATATAAAAATTTTTAAAGAGTTAAACATATTTTGAAATCATTCTAGTTTCAGCTTTATCACTAGTCACCAGGGAAGGCTAAGACGTACTTAAGATTAAGGATTTATAATACAGCTAATAGACATCTCTAAACTGATTATTAATGCAATGGACATTTGGGAGGGATACCAGTGTGATTGAAAAGGTTGGGGTTATAAAGGGTAAGCAAAGGCCAGCCAAGTGGCTCAGTTTGTTAAGAGCTTGCTTAAGAGTGTGAGCTCTTAGCATCAGGGCCGCCAGTACATTCCCAGCCCAAGCTGAACTGCCTCTGAGCTGCCAACAGGTGACAGGATGGCTCAGTTAAAAACAAAAACAAAAACAGAATAAATAAATTAATTAATAAATAAATAAATAGGGTAAGCACTCAGGTAAACAGAGTGTATGAAAGGTTTCATAGGCAGCAAAATAAAACTAAAACAGAAAAGATGGGAAAAAGAATGAATGGATCCTTATTTGAGATGCATGCATGGTTGCAGGGAAGCTGCTTAGCTTAGCCCAAATGGAGAATCATCTCAATAAGTATGTTCAGTTTAGGGAGAAAAGTGTCTTCCACTCCACTCAACCTCTTGCCACCCTCCCACCCCACCTACCCCCAACACACACACACACACACATTTTTATTCCTTTATTTATAAAAAATAGTGTGATAGAGTTTAGCCAAGAGCTAATCATAAAAACACTAAATTAAATCCTAAATGTTAACTCCCTTGTTAGTCATTAAAGAAATAAAATAAAATGATTACATATATTTTCAAAGTGACAACTCAGGAAAGGAACTTACATTTTTAGGTGTTTTTTTTATTCATTTACATTTTTAAATGCTGTAAAAGTTTTACTCTTGACCTTGCCACTCACTTGCCATATGACTTTATTTATTGATCCTAAGTTATTTCATCAGTAAAATGAGGATATCGATTAACATAATCACTAAGGTTCTTTTCTACCCTAAAATTCTAGGATTCTATTAGACACCTTTCCAAATATTAGACAACCCAGTGTGATTTTTTAAATTCTTTTATGAGATATTGAATGATAGCTTTTGAAATCATACTTACATTTTGGCCCACTTTTCTAATTCTTCGTTGAGATATGTTTTAACCATTTTTGGTTGAAGGCCAAGAGAACTTCCTGAGAAATAGATGGCATTTTCATCCTTATTCACTAAAGATAAATCAACTGAAACAGAAGAAAATGTAAAAAAAAAAAAAAAGCTTATTCAATTAATTCACATTCTTCCATTTGGCATTGTTAATCCAGTACAAACAATTAATATGATTAACTCCAAGAAGGATAATAACTTCAATTCCTCCCAAGGATAACATCAGGTCCTCTGAAAAATAATTAATCTTTTACATTCATATATTAAAATATAACTTATACTTATAGAAGCTTTTGTTGAGATCTCTCATATTTATTTTGTTCCATGACAAAATCTAAATTGGCAACTACTCTGAATTATCAATACCCAAAGTCATTAGAAAAGAATTGTTAAAAAATGAATTTTTACAGAAAGTATGTAGCCTATCTAGTCAGAATGGAAGGTTAGCAGAATTTAGGCAAGTACTAGCCCTCTGAATTATTTGGTGGTACAGATATAACAACTATTAAAGAAATCTAAATGTTTATTTACATATTTGAAGTAGATATTTTAGATTGTTACATTTTTTCGTTCTGTATATCTATATACATACATATATATATATATATATATATATATAAATATATATATATATATATATATATATATATATATATATATTACATATGTATATAATACATATATGGGCAAAAATCATTCTCTATATCTTCTTATTCCAATAAATCAGAACTTTAGTGAATTGTATCTCTTACAAATCTCCCCTGACTACAACAAATGCAGTTTCATTAGTTAACTAATCCATGTGCTTAAAATATAGTCCAGAAATACACAAGTTTATAACTGTGCTCTACTAAGTATTGTTTTAATTCTATGGAATAAAGTTACCTTCTGGCTAATACGTCATTCGATCATTTGGTAATATATTTGTCTTTACTTTAGACTACCTAATTAAACCTTTTTGGGCTTTTAAAGACATTCCACCTATTTCAACTTGATCTCTTTTATGGATACTGTGCATCTTTTTCATTGGCATCTGTTAAGCTTGACCCAACAAAACATGTGTAAATATTGCTCACATATCTAAATAGATTCATAAACAGTTCTTTGTCCACTTGGAGAGCAAATGTTGAATGGCTTTATTTAGAATCCAATGCTTTTAATTGATGTACGATCGGTCAAATTTCAACTAAGCATTCAAATAAGTACATACTGAAGACTAAACATGTTCTGTGTGTGTCAGCCTTGTCAGTGATTTAGGATGAGGAGGCAACAACCCAGATCTTTGTTCTCATTGTCTTATTTTGTTCTTTCATTGCTGATGTTTCTACAGGCAAATAAGCAGTGGGCTGTTTTTATTTAGAAAGTCGTTTTTGTTTGTGTGTGCTCAAGTGAGAGAAAAGCAGAATTATAGACTAAATTATCTTGTCCCATGCCAGGCCAAAGTATGGTTTATGATAAATTAGCTTTACCTTTCTCACACCTAGGCTCTTCAAACAAATGTTACTCAAGACTAATTCATCCACCTGCATCATATCTCCTGCAGGTCTCACACTTGTAGGTATTACAGATTTTCTCTCTCTCTTCCTCTGCATTCTCCCGCCTCTCCCCCNAGGGATACATGTTAATAAACTTGTTTGTTTTTCTTTTGTTAGTCTGTCTTTTGTTACAAGAGTCTCAGCTAAGAACTCAGAAAGGTAGGGGGACATTTATTTTTCTTCTCCTAGAGATCAGTGGGAGATCTGGAGAAGAGAAGCCCTGTTTCATGTTTTGTAGCCTTTGCTGATTTTCATGGTGGGAATGCTACTATCATGGCCCATTTCAGGGTATTGACAAAATTCCTGAATATTTAACAATTGGCTTTCATTACCTGGTAGGAGTCAATTCCAGGTCACTACTGGTTATGAGACTATATTTACTAAAACCTTAGAAAATGTTTACAAAATTTTCCAATTTTGTAAAAGTAAATGGGTGACAATATGCACCTTAACAGATGGACATGAAAAACAAATAGCATGTAAAAAAGACTGGTACATAGTATCCTTTTTCTGAGTCTTCTTTCCTAATGTAAACATAGTACTAAAACTGCTTTCAATGGCATGTGGTACATAACACAGTTTTTAAGCTAATATTTCAATTACTATATAAACTGAGATGAAGGAAGAGGGCTTCCTTTGAGGATAAACATAAACTATAAGAACTAAGGAGTAAGAGAAGGGTGATTGTTAGTTATTATTACTCATATTATTATTAGATAGTCCGCAGCTTGCCTCATTCTTGACTTCCAATATAAATGCTAAAGACAAAAATCGTTATCATTAAATGGTAGTTAAAGGCAGATACTTGGATCCTTTTTTATTTTAATCACATAGAGCTCCATGGCCTTCCCTGATAGCACAATACATCTTATTACATTTAGGTAGTAAAATTCTATGTTCTGCCTCAGAGAATTTATATCTCAGAATATTATGCCACCTACTTCTCACTCTGTTAGACACCGTGGTAGTGGTAATAATCTTTAAGGATATGTTTCTTCCTGCAATGATTTTGGCATCTCCCTTCCTCTAAAATATCATACACAGTCTGCCTCTTCATTTGGCAGGCCACTAGCTGGGGGTAATAATGAAATGTATTTAAAAAGTGTTACCCAAATAAACTTAAGGTAAAGTGGCCTGTCGTTAGAAAGAGTTAATGCAGATTACAGTGCAGGTATAAATATTAGTATTAGAGTTAAGAAAACTATTATATTGCTCTCATTCAAAACTGCTGAAAATAGTCACAGCATAGTTACAGTCTTCATTTACAAATACTAAGAAGGAAGAGAAAATGGAAAAGAATTAACTTTCTACCATGGCATCCATCATTGCCATGAGTGGGTTATTCTCTGAGATGTCTATGAAGCAGTATTTGCTCATGAAATTAGATTTCAGGATATCCAATCTAATTAAGAGCTTAATAGAAACGTGTATCCTTTTTAAAATAGGACTATGCTTTAACCATCCTACAAAATGAAAAGTGGCCTTCCTTTTAAAAGCTCTCCTCCCAATAAGTACATAAATAAGAATTCACAGTTCTTCATGATATCACAACTGTTTTTTCTTTGACCCAATTGATGATTAACCAACACAGATATTAGGAAAATCTTTGTAACGTCATGCCATGTACTCTCTTATTCATACTGAAGGGTGGCAGAATATGCCACACTAAAATATTCCTCTTTGGCATAAGAATTGTTCTGAACTATAAACTCTTGAAAAACAGCAAATGGAGGGAGAGGTTGTGTCTGAATTCCCCTATCTACCTTTCCAAAGAAACTCAGTTCTCATAAATCCCTTCCCCAAGAGTTTCCTCAACCAGGGAAGATTGAGTCTTGTCACAGAAGAGACTAGAAGTCAACTCTGCCCCAAAACTGTCACAAACTATCATATCTCCCATCTATTCTTCTGAGGTCCCCATTCATCCTTTCTATAAATTGTTTACTCTCCCCTAGTTGGCCTACATCTCCCTACTTTTCTCCTATTAAAAAGTTGATATATAAGCTCTCAAATTTCATTGCTTTTTTAGGTATTCCCTTTTTCTTTTCCTGTGATGCCCTCATGTTGGGAGCCGTCAACCTCTGGGGACGGGACATCCTAAGCCAAATGTCAGTTATGCTTTACAGCCCTAGTGCTTCAGTCACCAATATGTTTAATCAGGGATATGTCCCAGGCCAGGGACTAGGGAGCCCTAGGGCAGGGCAGGCTTGAATCTGTACAAAATACCCCCAATAATGACAGATCTGGAATAGGGTATCAGGATTTACCCTGATACCTTGGTAGCTCCTGCAACCCACTCTAACTTCGTTAAGATCAAAAGGCTTAGATACACCAGTGTGGGTTGACCAATGGCCCCTTACTCAGGAGAAACTTCAAGCAGCTACAAAATTAGTCCAAGAACAACTTGTTGCTGGACACATAGAGCCATCCACCAGCCCATGAGACATTCTCATATTTGTCATAAAGAAAAAATCAGGAAAATGGAGGCTATTACAGGACCTCTGAGCAGTTAATGCTGTCATGGAAGTCATGCGGAGCCTACAGCCTGGGCTTCCCTTGCCCACTGCCATCCCAGTAGATCATCATTTAATTATAATAGATTTAAAGGACTGTTTCTTTACCATCCCCCTTCAGCCAGAGGACAAAAAACAATTTTGCATTTAGTCTTCCCTCGATAAACTTTAGGCAGCCAATGCAACGTTTTCAGTGGAGAGTTCTCCCTCAGGCCATGGCAAACAGTTCAACAATTTGCCAAGCTTTTGTCAGCCAAGCAATCATGCCTATCTGTCAACTTTATCCTCTGGCTTACATTATCCATTATATGGATGATATTCTTGTCTCCCATTCCAATAAAGAGATTCTCCACCAGATATTTGGGGAGCTTAAAGACAGCCTTGCTAGAGCTGGGTTATGTATTGCCCCAGAAAAGGTTCAGGAAAGTTCCACATTTTCCTATTTGGGGACTCTAATTACTCATAGACCACAAAAAGTACAAATTAGGACTAGTCATCTCAAAACTCTTAATGATTTTCAAAAACTCCTAGGAGATACTAATTGGGTAAGGTCTTTTCTAAAACTAACTACAGGAGACTTACAGCCTTTGTTCAATATTCTCCAGGGGGATTCTAGTCCTCCCGGACACTTACCCCTGAGGCAAAAGTTGCTCTTACCAGGGTAGAACAGGCTTTACAACAGGCTCAGGTCACTAGGGTGGACCACTCACAGCCGGTTTCTCTCATCATCTGTAATACTAACCCTACTCCCACAGGTAACATTTGGCAAATGAAAATGGAAAATGCTTTCAAATGTAGTGATATTTATTTTCCAAAGTATGGATAAAAGTTATTCTGATAAAGTTATAACAGGCTTAATAAATTATGTAAACCTCTATCATTTTTGTATTAAGCTGTGAACTTAGAATTTTAACCATGAAAATGAAGAACTTTGCAGCATTGTCTAAAAGCCATGTAAGTAATTATTTGTACAGTCAGAGTAAACTAACTTTAAAGAAATATATACTATTCTCAGTATGAAAGATGACTGGC